ACAGCTTACAACACTGTGTATTCTAAGGGTTGGCATCACTCAGGCTGAAGGATACGCTTCCGTGTCACCCACGGTTGCAGAATAAATCGCAGAAAATACCTTTTCATGCAGGAAAACGTCTGGTCCACTGAAAACGCATTTTCATGCAGAATTTGACATCTTTCTGCCACGGAATTTACTTATTTTGAAAGTTGACACAAGATTGCCTATCAAACAAAACAATATTTTGTAGAGTTTGTAATGTCACTCCTGATCACACTCGTAAGAGTACTGTTTCAGATCATCTTTCTAAATAAAAAAGAACATCTTGTAAGAAAAAACGAGCTGCCAGCTTTGTTTTGAAGAATTAAAGTTTGAAATCTTTATAATTTCTTGTTGTTTTGTCTAGTATTTAACTGCATAATTTGTTGCAGAATTTTGAAAAATGGGATGCAGAATTTACTTAAATTTACAGCAGAATTCTTAAAAATTTGCTGCGGAATCCAGGAGGGACTGTTTTATAGTTAGTTTCATCTTGATATGCCAAGATGCAAATGTTATATTGCATATATATATATAATCAATCGCTATTTCAATCATGCCGATATTAATCTGTGGTAAACTATCAGTAATGATCAACTAGTAGGTAATAGATAGCTATTTATGAGGTAACGAGATTAACTTTAATAATAATACTGTATATCATATATATGTATGCACTGACTTGACAATGAGATTTTAATATGTCCTTTATGCAATATTTAATTTACTGGTACGTATATATGTGATTGTGTTTAGAAATACCTATTGTCACGCCACAGCGACACTGAAATAAACAGGTCTCTCCCACCGCCCCACCTTGGTCATCATTGATTTGACCAGCAGAGGCTGCAACATTATAAATGTTTCTGAAGGATAGAAAAATATTCCTATCCTTCATCACAGACGTTCACAACACCACCACACTGCTCACTGTCACATGATAGAAGCTGAACAAGAAGTATCACGTTCTGTTGAAAGTTCATCTGGTCCTAAGCTGCTGACAAACAATAATCTAGTTGTTATGGTGTACCAGTTGAGAGTGTGCAAAGCTGACATTCAGAGTTGCATCATCCTTGTGAACAGACAGTTAGCAATGGAAATCACAAATGGGAGTACTAGAAATTCTAGTGATTGTTGACCACGAATCAGAAAAACTTCCTGGATTTTGAACTAGGGCATCCAACAGGCAGGAGTACAACCATGCCGGCAACAGTAGATGTTGTTTCTGACAAGGAAGTCAAGATGCCACAGTAGTTGGATCAGGATCTGTAATATTCAGCTGGAGATGATTCCTGTACTACAAAATGCACATAAAATTGATTATCAGTGTAGACAGCCAAGAAGAAATAATTTGCCAAATGAAAGAATTCAAAATTTGTAGCAAATTTTGTAGCAGCTTTAGAGAGTGACTGAAAACCTGAAGTCTTTCGTTGAACCACCATGAACAGCGTAGATGATGATAAGCATCCCGACAGGCCAAGCTGACGACCCAGTCTCCAATATTCAGTGCAGAGTGTTGTCTGCATATTGAATCCATCTAGAAAATGGCAGATAGACTGGTAATTCCTTGTTGATAACTTTCAGATCAATGATCAAACATATGTCTGCATTATTCTTCTATAGTGACGGAGAAGGAACATAAACCGTAACCAAGGTCTGTTAATCAGTTCCTGAATGGCTGCTTTGTCTAATTGTATGTAGCTGCTATCTTGGTCCACTCCAGATGAAATCAACAGCCTTCTCACTACGGTAATTAACAATGTCTGTCTGCTTACAGAAATACAGCATGTATCTCTCTCATATGTTCATAAAGGCCAGCCAATGGTTTGATCCAAGATAGGGGGCTTTCTGGAAAATCTGAGACCTCCCCCATTGCTCCTTCTACTTCTGGGTCTCTTCCTCAACACTACTGATCAACATGTTTACAGCTGCACATGGCCTCAGAGCAGAGGGTATACTAAGGCATGAAAGGAATAGCTTGTTCTAAAAGTAATTCGTGAAAAGCATGTTCTCTCAACAAAACATGTTCTCTTGGACTGGACTGATGAAATGTGAGCGTTAACTGTCAAGATGATCATGGAATGTTGAATCGTCTCATCCGTGTCTAGCCAGACTACCTCTGATCTTGTAAAGCTTATTATTAAGTGAGTGTTGTGTTGTTATTACTTATGACACAGCAAATTTCTTGGATTATTCTGACAAAGCTCTAGTCTCAACTTAAAGGTTTTGTCTCTGTGACCACAGAGATGGCTGGACATCCAAACTTGGGACCTGGAACACAAGGTCGTCTTGTATTTTCACAATCTCTGAAAGAGATTATTTGCCAAAGAGCATTTGACAGAGATAACAGAACAATACATTTCAAAGCCTGGAAACATGAAACTGACTACAGTTGTGTTGCTGGTCAGCTGAACACGACCATCTCATTCCCTTACAACGAAAGATGACAGCACCTGGACAACAAAATCTTAACAGTGAAAATGGACCTTATAAAGTTGGTAAAATATACAAATGCAAGCACATATGCATTCATACTGGCTATTTTCCTTAACTTACCAATTCCTAGCCATGTCAATTAATGTATCAGTTAATTATCATCAAATATGTTGACTCATCAAAATGTTCTAGTTTTGGCAAAGACATTGTGAGCCATTACATATTATTGACTGTCAGTATCTCAAAATGAGTCTTTCTGTTGAATAAATAGTTTTCCAACAAAATACAGTTTTTGAACATATAACAAATCAAGGCCTCTCCAAAAGTAACACAAGGAAACTGACACTGTTTCCCACAAAGTCAGTAACCACTGACGGTGAACACAAACAAGGACTAATGATGACATGAGAGTTAAAGGCTCTATATCACACCACATTTCTCTAAAAATGAATAATGGATTTCTCTCAATAATACTAACTATCAGCCCTCAGAGAAGCTACCATATTATATTCCGAAACAAGTTACGTATTTAGATTACAATATTGAATTAAAAAACTTCAAATGAATTAATGCAACTTTGCCCTCTACAACCGAACATTATTTCAAATGAACCCCACAGAGTTATGTACTTTGGAGCACTCTTTACGAATATGCTGTGCTCAACTTGTGATTGAAACCAGTTTGGCAAACAGTTTTCGAATTGTTTACTTTCCATATACAGTCAAACCGTGTTGTGTCGAACTCATCGGGAACAAGGGAACAGTTTGACTTATCTGAGTGTTCGACACAGCATACCGAGTTCGAGTCACAATGGTGTTCGACTGTAAGGCAAGTGTTCTCTGTTTAGGAAATTTCGCCTTGAAGTTTCAATTATCGATTTCAGGCAAGATGTAAGGGATAATAAGTCCTTTATTGCATCAATAGGAAGCTAAAGTGAGTGCATATGCCTCAATATGTATATAATACAGGCCAAAATACTGTTGAAAATGTATGACATTGTGCCTTTAAAAGAGTAAACAAGAAAAAATTGTGTCGAGGGACACGGATGCCCTTGCTGCTGTAGGAAGAGTTCACACATTCAGGGTCCCACTGAAGTACTTGAAAACACTAAAAACAATGTGTTGAGGGGTTAGATAACACAACCTATTATCATATAAAGATCAATAATTGAACAAAATTCACGAACAAGTTCAATAAACATCTATGCAACTATGAGATGCACACCTTTCGAGTCCCAATGAAACACACGTATAAGCTTAATCAATTCTGTTGAGCAGTTTTTGTGGAGAAGTGGATTGACCTAATCCCCTATTTTACTATCATCAGAGAGAAATTCAACAAAATTGATCTTAGTTCAAATGTCTCTAAACATATAAAAAAAAATATCAAATACAAAAACAAAATATGAATTGCACACCTTTAGAGTCTCTATAAAAGAAATATGTAAGCTATATGAGTTTTGTGCAGTGGTTTTTGAGGAGAAGTGGATAAAGTACACCCCCTGTTGTATGGGACGAACAGGATGAATAGAACCAAATTCAACTAAGTTCAAACATCTGTAGAAGTGACAAAATTAAGAAATTGGATGAACAAGGTATGAGATGCACACCTTTAGAGTTCCAATGAAACACATGTAGAAGCTCAATCAATTCTATAGAGCAGCTTTTGTGGAGAAGTGGATAGACTTCATCCCCTACAACACTATATTCAGAGAGAAATTCAACAAAATTTATGTAAGTTCAAGCGGCATTAAAATTAGAAAATAAATGAAATACAAAATCAAAATATGAGATGCACGCCTTTAGAGTTCCTATAAAGCACCATGTGTAATCTAAATGAATTCCATAAAGTAGTTTTTGAGGAGAAGTGGATAACGTACACCCCCTGTTGGATGGAACGAACAGGCTGAATAGAACAAAATTCAACTAAGTTCAAACATCTGTAAACGTGACAAAATTAAGAAATTGCATAAAAAAGTTATGAAATGCACACCTTTAGAGTCCCTACAAAAGACATGTAGAAGTTCATTCAATTCTGTTGAGCAGTTTTTGTGGAGAAGTGGATAGACTTCATCCCCTATTACACTATCATCATAGAGAAATTCAGCAAAATGTACCTAAGTTCAAATGTCTCTAAACTTACAAAAAAACAATAAAATAGAAAAACAAAATATGAGATGCACACCATTTGAGTCCCAGGAAAGCCCATGTATAAGTTCATTGAATTCCACAGAGCATTTTTTGTGGAGAAGTGGATAGAGTACATTTCCTGTTTCGGACGGACGGATGTACGGACGGACACGGAGGGTAACCCTATATGCCCCCAGCCATATACGGCAGGGGCATAAAAAATATAGTAAGGGAGTAAAATACATGAGTCAAATCTTGTCAGTCAAGGACTTAATTTGAAAACATTTATTGCAGAAGCTTCCAATTATAATGAGCCATGTTCTGCTATTGTATGTGGTGAAGGACAACAGGTATTTTTCTCTTTGCTACTACTTCTACTCAAACAATTTTCTAAAAGACTCTCCCACTACCTACTTCCTATACTGTTGTTGATAGCCTCTTGAGACTTCTGGATGCCGAGACGAAATTCCTGAAGCTCTGGTCTCAACTTGTTACCACGGTGATAATACACTAGAGCTGTCTCGAAATCTCCTTTCTGATACAGTGCTTCTGCTTTCATGCACAATGCCTGTAAGAAAAGGAATATAGATGATCCACAGATAGGAATGAATGAATTAAAACACAGTTTGTTCTTCCCATTGTGTAGTGTATTCAAGTTTGGTATTGCTGGAATTATTGTAGTCAAGGTCAAATGAATTTTTTTCTGGAAGTTGAATTTAAGACTAATATTATGTTTTAGAATCAAATAAGCAATATGCACACTGCCTCAAACTGAAAATCCAACCACGGCTAACTGATGGGCTGTTCCAATTAACTTACTGCACCATATCATTAAACACAAAGTATGTTTCAAACAAAATATTAAACGTCAATGAAAAGGGTACGTTATAGCAAGTCACAAAGATTATCCATTCAGTGTGTGATTAACCATAATCCCATGCAGCAATATATGTGATATATATTTCAGTTTTTAAATGAGTACACTTCAGTTTAATCACATGACTTGAAACATTCCACAAGTGCATTGTGATGCTGAGCTAGTACATGTAAACATCACTGAATTAACTGGTCCATTTCGCATACTTTGTCAGTTGAGTTGTTTTCTGTTTTTAAAGTTGCAACTTTGTTTCCACCACTAATTAGCAAGACTGCAGGAACTGCAAGCCGTGAAAATGTATGCAACGTCCGATGCAGAGCTGATATACCAAAGGGATGGGCCTCAGGCCTAGTTGTAGACCAAGCACTGCCACATGAGACCAAACAGGTTTTTCATGCAAGATTTGTTGACTAACAATCAAGGGTTTTGTGAATTGATATAATCAATTTTTCAACTCTTAAAATATTTATAAAATTTTCTGCATTTGTTCGTCAAAGCATTCATTGCAAATAAATAACTATGTGTATTTTTTAACAGTTTTGTGAATTACGAAAAGGAAAAATATCCGCAATATCCCACGGTTCCATCATATACAAAGAACATGATGCCCTGTGAGAAATTGACAATACATTATTGATTTCTACATTTTCCATCACATATTAGTCCATTTGATGGGTATTGAAGAAAGACTGAGTGAATTGGAGGATTCATTATATTACTTTTTCATGGCATAATACATTTGGTGTCTTATCAAATACATCCATCAGATCATATCACTAAAATGATTACATCGTTACTTTTTGTCGACCCCGATGTATTGTACTGGAACAGGTGTCTTGGTTACAAATGTTTCTATTAAACTACAAGATGATTTCAACATTTCAACATTCCTTGGTGCGTGCTTCTGTACTGAGAAAATATGAGATGAAGTGAGCTGGCAAAAACATAACCCACCATACTGCATTTAAATGGTACACTCACAAACATCTTTGATGTCATAAATTCTTGGTCATGCAAAATGTTCATTTTATGCTCGAATGGATGGGAAGTGAAGGACCTACGTATAGCTGAACGGATGCAAGTCATTGCAGACTAAAAACCTCCTCAGAATAGAGTTTAGTTCTTGAACTGATTGCATCTCAAAATCTAATGGGAGGTTGTTACACTTCAGCCAATCTGAAATAATGTGTCTTTTCAATAGATTCTACTTTATGGAATACAGGTTATTGAGGAAATAAAGTTGCAATAATTGAAATAGCTTAGGTAAGTTGCAGTGAAAGTGGTAATAGACAGTGTTTGATTGTATGACTAATTGTTACACCTATACCATGCTGTTTTTTAAGGAAATAAATGAATAATAAATCTATCTAGTTATCTTGCTTAGGATGCATTGAGAGTTTTTCGTTTTCTACCATCGGACTGCTATCGGACACTCAACAATTGCAATCCATCGATAGTTCGATGCATCATTACAGCCCTAATATAGATTATATGTATTTACCTTTATGTCTTTTTTGCCTTCATCATCCTGCTCCAAGCATTCATTAGCATCAGCAAGGGCCTGTTCTGCATTACCAAGCATAAGGTAACAGTTGGAACGTCGGACTAAACATACACGGTCTCCACTGCGCATGTCAAGGGCCTACAAAACAATTGATAGTTATATATAGTGTATGGGATTAGCAAATAACAAACCAGATAAGATTATAAATACCACAAACAGCAAAAATACATCATTCATGCGGAATCAAGTATTATTGCCAAGTGTAACAACGATGATTTCTTCTTGTAATCACACCAGCAGGAAGTTTAATTCCAGGAAACAGTATGAAATGTATGAATTGTGATTGATTAATTAAAATGCATGAAAAGTGCAGAAAATGAATGTATGAAATATATGTATGGTGCTTAAAATAAATGTATGTAATGTATGAAAATTGTTCAAAATTTAATGTAATGTATGAAAAGTGGCTGTAAATTTTTAAAATGTGATTCATTAATTTATGAATAAATGAACGAATAAGTGTATAAACTGTACATGTTTGTGTGATGATGTAATGAAAACATTATATACTGTAAATACATGCATCACCTTGCCAGTCGTAAACAACTATTCCCCCAACTACTTTTGGACATGTCCCCCAGATTTAATCCCCGACTGCCATTGTTTCTCTTATCCATTTTAAATTGGCAAGGGTAAAATGTTGCACCAGGCCGACTTGCTATAGGGGCTGAAACCCAGATATTAACCAGATTGTCGGCCTAGCAGTTACCTCCCCATTTCTACTCCAGCTCCACATGGCAGTCTCATGTAGCTTATCAAATAAGCATACTTTCCTCTCATTTGCAAACAAACATACTTGCAAGACATTCAGTGCTCTTTACATATTGTTTGTGTAATTTCAAACATATACTTCACAGATCAAAGTGACCATATCACAAGCTCCTCTGTGGGACATTGGTGACAATATGCATAGAGGATAAATACCCAAATAGAAAAACCTTTCCACTTTGTTTCGATGAAAGTTAAACATTTTCTGGCATATGTTTATCTAAATGTCCAGATTTGTCTGACATGAAACAGATGAAAGCACACCAACAACTGTGCATGTGACCAAGGAACTTCGCCTGCCACAACATACTCTGGGAAGGAACGTGGTTTCATATGACTAATGCATATTTATGTTGAAGAGGAATGGTCAGATCTACCCAAACTGGACTTTGTCTAACTATTAGGACATCACATCTACAAAAACAGGTGAGCAAGTAAAAGATCAGACCACCATTTAAACAACACGACAAAGTCATCAGTATCCCCCGCAATGGCAAAATACTCTTCATGAATATGTCTACTAGTTATGGTTATGTCAAATATTTAGGTGTGTATATGGCAAAGTGGAAGTAGAGTATTGAAAGGTTTGTAAGTTATGCTGCAGAAAGGTTCACTACCACCAAATTCAGTTGAAGCCAAACTTGTTGGCATGGAAACACAAAAAAATATTTTATTCAGAAATCTAAAACTACCAAAAGGCACCATTTCACCACCAGACCTATCTGTGTGCCAAGTTTGGTGAAGAAATCAAAGTAAAACTTGTTGCCATGGAAACACCAAAATATAATATAATCAGAAAGCCAAAACTAACAAAGGGCACCAGTTCATCACCAGATCTATCTATGTAAGAAGTTTGGTAAAGAAATATTGAACGGTTTTAAAGTTCTGCTCCAGAAAACAGCACCAACAACAATTTCAGTCAATTTCACGCATGGACGCACGGACGGACGGAGTGCATTTTAATTCCCCCCGCAAAACGCATTGTGGGGGATAATAAATGGACACAGCCAAAGGTGATTTCTGTAACAATGGCATAAATTACCACAGAGGAGTAGACACCCTCTCTCTGGGATGTTATATGGGAACCCTATGAAAGATACATAAACAATAAAATAACTTCAAGGATTTATTGCTGTACAAGTTATGATAGTTGTATGGGAGTATGTTGCTATTCTCTTTTTCGTAACTGCACAGACAGGCTGTTGTCAGTTGTTCTGCCAATACAGACATCTGAACTGATGAAGTCTCCAGATGTTAGAGACTGAGATGTCACGAAGGTTGTGGGAAGCTAAGACAGTCCCAGACCTCCAAACCAGCCCTCCATTATTTGTAAATATAAGGCACTTGGAGGAATGGAATCCACAAGTTATACAAAGTTATATGATACGATGGTGTGGTCAGTTTTAAGTTATGGGGCATCTATATGGGGACATCGGGAGGTATCCGCAGTAAATGCTGTCCACCATCGTGCTTTGAGATTTTTCTTGGGGGTGGGTAAATATGCTCCTAACGTTGCAGTGAATGGAGACATGGGATGGATCCCTCACATTGTTAGACAATGGATATGTATTGTTAGACAATACTGTCATTTTAGAAAAATGTCTTTTAGAATAAATGAGTATGTATTTATATAGTCGGAGAGTTGTGCGAGTGGATGTGTGAGAAATTGGAATTTCCGAGTAAAAGCAAGGTTAAATGAATGGGGCCTTAGTGTGGAAGCTGATGTTAATGCGAGAAGGTGCGAGATATTTGTATGCAGAAGTATGTGAATGATTGGTATGAGTTATTACACAAGCCAAGCGGTAGAACTGGAGGTAATAAATTACGAACGTATCGAATGTTTAAGGATGTGTATGGCTGTGAAAGTTATGTGAGTATGAGTATGCCCCGTTCTTACCGCTCTGCCTTCTCCAAATTCAGATCAGGTACTGCTCTTCTGCATTTGGAAACCGGCAGATATACAAATGTGAATGAGAGGGTGTGTTTTCAGTGCAGTGAGAGTGTTGAGGATGAAAGACACGTTCTGTTGTATTGCCCTATGTATGATGATTTGCGTGAAAGTTTATATGAAAATGTCTGTTTTAGCTATCCCAATTTCTTAGATCTTTGTGATGATGATAAATTAGTTTTACTTTTTAAACACCATGTATATTTCAGTGCCAAAACCTGCTTTTATATCTTGCAAAGAAGAAAACATATTTTATACGGATAGATTTTATACTGTATGTACCTATATAATTATTTAGTATTTAGTATTTATAATGTATTAATACATTAGTCTCTCATAACCCTTATAGGGTGGCTCACTTATATGCTATATTTTATAAATATATTTTTATATGTATTTTATGTGAGGTGAGACTGAAATAAAATATCTGTCTGTCTGTCCATTATGGCTGGTAATCAGCAGTTGCTCTGTTCAGTGCCATAATTGAAGTGGTTGCCCTCATTTCCTGTGGGTTGAGATAGTTATCCCGCAAGATATAAGCCCCTTAAAATGTACCCAGAGACTTTAGTTTTGACTGAAAGTTGTGAGGTTGCAGTCTCCGTTAAAGAATGAAGAGGTAGGTGTTCGTGAGAACATTAGAAATCTTCAGAGGCCTTTAAGTAGATATGTAAAGTTCTTACTGAAAATAAGGAGAGGCCATTTGTGATGACAGGGACTAAAATTTAGGTAAGCGGGATGGTGGGATAGGCGATCCGGTTGTCATGGTTACTTTGGGGTTTTTTAGCTATAAAATCCAAACCCAGTCCAAGAAAGACTGTACCATGACTATGTATCAGATGCATGTATCTCAACTAAGGGACTTGGTGAAGTTACCAGAAGTCTGATAGACAAATTTGGGTTCATCGGTCCCCATCTGAGCTGATTCTGAACACTCTGGGTCAACACCTGCCATGTCGTCACAATCTTGAAGGGACGTACACTTACAATACTTCAGAGAAGTGGAGAGACTTGTGTCAGCAGGCAGTACCTGCAGTGTCAATGTAAACCAGTGCATGGATTTGATCTCCAAGTGCCTATGTGACTGTACCAGACTCTTGTGAGTGTAGTTTCCATTTTGACAGTGACTGTAAATATGTTGTCTTGAAGCAGTTGTGTTATGATGTATTACTAAAGTACACACGGAAACAGAAATAAAATGGTTCTTGGTGTTTATGTCGTAGTTTATAACACAACTAAAGTTTGATTGTTAAATATTCTTTGACTATCGTTTTTCCCAACTTTTGTTTTTAACACTTTTTGTAAAATCGTCCAAAATAGATGAGAGGAGAGCAAATCATTTCATTCTTTCCCATTGAAATTTCATCAGTCAAAATGTATGTTTCGGATGCAAGCTATAGTATGCAAATGAGATGTACTCTCCACAGGTTCGAGTACATAATATGTTTTATGAAAGACGCCATATATCAATCATAAACAAGTTCTTTTAACTTGATATGGATGTCTCCATATTTCGGATATCTCGATATAATTTCATGGTCCCAACAAGCAAAATTACCATTTAACTTGATATTTGCAAAGAAACGCGATATTCATCTACCTTTTATGGGCAAGCATCCCTCTGAACTGAGATTGTTTCCACACGGTGTGGCATGAATCAAAGGGATGTGGTAGTGTAAACTAATTAGGGTTAATTGAGTTGAAGGTGTCACTTGTTTGTTATTTACTTAGGATTAATTAAGGAGGAATTAATTAGGAAGTACTCACTGTTCCCGACTAAACACTACTGATAACGGATTATAGTTTTGAATAAAAACATACTGAGAATCCAATGAGGGTTTTGTGTAATCACGTGACTAGCATGTGATTGTTGAGTTGTTTCTAAATCTTCTATGATTCAAGATGGACACTGTAACATGAGCTGTATCGCGTGTGATTGCGATCCCTGTGAGTAAAAATGTATATACAAATGAATATACATGAAATCTACTTTTTGTTTTGTTTTCTTTCATAGTGATATGTGATGATATGCCCTGGTCAGATGTCTCGAGGTTCGGATAACTCGATATTTTTTTCTTGGTCCCATGAATATCGAGACAACGGTGCTCAACTGTATTATCAATTGGATATTCTACAGCATTATCAGACTAGCAGGATGGTGAATGTCATTTGTGCTACAATTGTCTCATGTTAGGGAAACATATTTCCTGACATGCAGTTATCAATTTAATGTTGAGTAGTCTTGTGTTTTGTCATTGTAACTAGAGGCAACTAGCACACGCTATCACGTACTAAATGAGCTTGCACTATAAAATATAAAATAACATCTTGATCTGGCAAGTTGTACTGCTGCCATTGTCAAGAACATACAGTTGTCTTTGTGGCAGTCCTTGCCCTTAACCCTGAAAAGCTGCAGGCCCTAAGGGCCCAGAACCATAACAAGTTGTGTGTCCTGATCAGAATGTGTAGGCCCTATATTTTAATATGGAAATAATACTAAAGCTGTGGGTCTGAGTGGTTTTCAATCGGCCTGGAGCCTAAGGACCAAAGTAATTTCGAACGCTGCTTTGTGGTAATGGATCAAGTAAGCAATGATCGTCACTGTGAGACCATTATGGAATAATACATTAGATTAGACTTGTTGAAATTCAGTGTGTTTAAGGTCTGTCTTTCCCGAAGTACTTGTGGTAATGGGGAGATTCCTTAAGGACACCAGGGCTAGTGTTTGGGGATAAAGTAATAAAAACTCGTCATCTGAAGTTGGTTAAAAGTGCTCAGGACCAGTACTGTCCTAAGATTGGTCCAGAGGTAGAGATATATTAATAAGAGAGAGGGAGAGAGCATCAGAAGGAATCAAGATAGAGTGTGCGAGAGAGCCAAGAGAGATTAGCTAAATTGGAAGAATGCTCCATGTGCCTCACCACACTGAGAGTAAGTAACTTTACATTGGCATGTATACACTGTTGTGTTTATATTAGATGATGTGACTGTACTTGGTCACATTAGAATATTTTAAATAACAAATGGTAAATGAAATGTGACATCAACATGTACTGTACTGCTAACAGGGTTAAAGGGCCACTGATCCAAAGTGATTATTGTTTCCAGCCAACAGTCTAATAAGAAAGCTAGCTGCAAACTGGTCAGCCTCGTCTCCCTCGACCATGACGGAATGGGGACTGGGCTACTGCCGAGCGTCCACCCTGGCAGAATTTCTTCAACCTAATCAGTGGGACATTAGGAAGGATGGATGCACATCAGATGCCGTTATTTGAAAATATCCCCAGTAGTTCTTGTCTGATTGTAATAAAGTATCCCAGCAGTGTAGGCTTTTTCAGATTTTCAAATGTTTGGATGGTATAGTGACTGATCCAATTTGATCCTATTTCTGTGTTTTTACCTCAATATTTAATCATGTAAAGATATGATGTCTATTACGTATGCTATGATATCAAAAACATACATTTGATATATTTGAATCCATAAACTAAACAACCCCACTTTGCCATTGCAAAATAAATCTGAAATTTTACTTAGGTACATAGGTATATACAGTTTTTAACTAAGTACACAGCAAATGCTTATATATATTTCTTATGTAACAATGAAGTTCCATTCGTATCCTCAAAACAGTGTCTGCCCATAAGTTTTTTTTTTCAGGCAATCAAACTTGCATGCAATACAGCGATTACTACTCTTTTGTTGTAACCCTTGTTTGGTGGTAAACCTACACATGTTATTTGTCATCATTCGCTTGATAGTCAGTTAATGAATTAATAACAGGTATAATTAGTGATAACACCACTCAGATTACCCGACAAAGGTTCCTATTTAGCATTTCTTGTGTCTGGAGTAAATACTCATCATTATAAATTGAAGTCTGATGTGGCAAATGTATTACATCTTATGTAATATGCGCATGGAAGTGCAGTAAGAGGAATTATCAGCTGAGTTACAAAACAAACATCGATCAAAGGATTAACCGATAACACGCTGATTGATTAATTGTTTTTATCCTGCACAGCTGATTTGTCAAAAAGTAGTGTTTATGTATGTAGATTTACTAATCTATACTGAATACACCCTGTCGTAAAGTCTCTTTGTAAAAACAATGTCCTTCCTTCAAAGGATTAACCGTCAATACATTGATTGATTGCTCATTATTGGCTTAACTAAATTACTTTATTAAAGAATGACGGACATCATGCAATTAGTTGCAAGTGTGCTATCTTGGGTGACCAATGAGACTATACACCAATGTGAAAAACCTGAAACGATAGATCACTTTTTCGCATATTAGACAGTTACAAGACACATGACATGGAACAGGATACTTTGTCAGCTGCAGATGAATGGCATCTCATTCCTTTATGTGGATAATGAAGGATACATTCCCCGAACAAGGTAATAGCCTGATATTGTTGCTATAACTTAAGTGTGTTTTAATTTTAATATTTGCATTTTGTTTTTATTTATTTGTTATGGCATTCAGCAGAATCATTTTTTTAGCCGTGAAGTGTAATGAGACAGACAACATACACTAGGTCGCACTCAGGGCGTGTGTGTGAAATATGATACATGTTGGCAATCTATAAAATGTCTAGATATTACAATCATGTTATAAATTCACTAAGTATAAGCAGATCGTGTGCATTTCATTAAGTTTCAAAATGCATACAAATATGATAATAATAGTCGGGGATATTCAATAACTGAGAGCTGCTGATACACACAATATACCCCAGCAACAGTTTTGCTTGGGTGACGTCACAGTGCCTGTGTTTTGCAACAAAATTTCAAAAATGCGTCACTGGGCGTGTTGATAAACTTTGTAACTTGCTGAATTCTAAAAGATGGCTTACGGTGCTTTATACATTTTTAATCATTGGATTTTTATTATAATAAATACCAGTACATATATCTCTAAATGCTGAGTTAGAACCGCACAGGTAAAGTTTCGGACTTTTTAACTAATATGCGTACCTTCGTAAAGCTTGCAATGGCTCTCTTGTACTGTTTGACGTGAATAAAATGCTCCCCTTCGTCTCGGTGTGTTTCAAAGGTAACTTGGGAATCATGATTATCGGTTCCATTGTCACTTTCACTGTCCTTGCGACCACGTCCTCGACCTGGCATAATATTAATTTATAATTCCGTTTCACAAAGATAAATAGCAGCAGGAAGATTCCCTTATCCTACACCAGATATGACAACTCCTTTTGCTGTTCTGTTGCTATTAGAAACGGGTAGCTTTACTTGTTAATGTCGCATTTATATATTTTGCTAGCTTTTGTTGTAGATATTTCTGTTTTAATGAGAACTAATATATTATTTTAAATGATATTTTAATACCTTAGCATTCTTAGTAATGAAGAGAAAAGTCGAAACTGTTTTGAAATACGTCTTACGGGATCAGGCCTAAACGGCACTTCATCAAAACAACTATTAACCAAAACGGCACCAGTTTGGCTAACAGTTAACATGAAACAATTTATCATTCTCTGTATAGTTACAAAGGCCAGTATTAAAACATTCTGATGCCTTATCATTCACAGTACTTGAAAGGAAAAGTCGAAATTGTCTTGAAACACGTCCTACGGAACGGGGCTGAAACAAAACTCATCAAAACGGCAACAAACTCGCTTAACTCACAGTTCACAGAAAGCAAATGAGTGTGTATGGTTTTACACCGCTTTTAGCAATATTCCAGCAATATCACGAGAGGGGGATACCAGGAATGGGCATCACACATTGTACCCATGTAGGGAATAGAACCCGGGCCTGAAGAGCGAACGCTTTAACCATGGGTGCCAGTCAAATCGCCCCAGCTACAAAATGCCCCAGCAAATTTGGTCAAAATGCCCCAGATATTTGGTCAAATTACCCCAGAGGGGTAGTCAAAATGCCCCAATTTATTTAAAATGATTAAATATGTGCCATGAATGCATAGTTTTTGTCAACTTTGATATTATATCCTTCATAAAATATTATATAGTAATATTTCTGGTAAATGTTCCATTAGTAAACTGATAAGAGCAAAAGTAATATTTCTGTACAGTATAGACAACACTGTAATACCAGTTATTTGCATGGTATTAATGCTTTTGTCAAGAATTACAAGAATGTGTAATGGTAGGGTTATTTTCTTAGTAGAAATTAGGCTTGTTTTTAGGGTTGGGACAGGGTTATGCATAGGCTATAGGCTAAAAATAATACACCAGGCTTAGGCTTCAGTGGGCTGGTCCATTTAGCTCTTGAGGGGTAAGGACCCACTAGGCATGTGCCTAGTATGCTTCTTCCCCATTGTTATGCAATGGGATGGGCCAGTGCATGGGCATCTCATGAGCAGAGGGATCAGTGCACCGAACTTTTCTTTTGTGGGCATTTATTGGGTAAATTTCAGCGCATGGTTTTTATTGGGTAAGAGTTATAGGTTAGGGGTATAAAAGGTCAGATTATTTTTTTCTTTGGACTCTGGGGTCTTACAGAGGGAAGAAAGGTGAGAACAGAGACCATATTATATGGTCTCTGGTGAGAAATTCACTATTGTTTCTGTAGACTAGGCAAACAGAGTTTTAAGTTCTTTTAGTTTTGGTTTAAAGAAGAAATAAAGTTTTGGTTAGATAATGTTAGGTAGTTAATTTTTGTTTTATTTTGCAGGGAACATTATTTTAGGGAGTTACAGTCCGTTTGAGTCAGAAATGGACCGATGAATTGCAAATTTTATCATTGTACAAAATTGCCACATAAATATAAACAGTACACATGTTTATCATTTACTAATACCCAACAGCTTTCTTATATTTGAAAATTGTCCGGACTCCACCAAAAGAGTTGTTTAAGAAACTATCATCATTGAAAACGCAAAAGTTATCTGTCGCGGCGGGGTGAAACCGCAGAAACGGAACAGCCAGTCATGGCAGGGGACATCTCAAAATCTATGCCGGGAGACCTGTCGGTTCCTCGTCTGTCGTAGTGTCATGCTCTAAGACATACATATCGTTCTGACGTTGTCAGCGAGGAAAGACGTATGTTGTGCCCTTAAACCTACAATGGTCTTAAGTGCACAGAAATCATAAATAAACATGAGTGGGCGGAGCTTATGTGACCACGTCATACGTGTTTCGTACGCACTTCTTCTCTCTTGAACACGGAAGTGTCTTCAATACAGCACATTATTTTGAATAAACGGCACGTATACTTCATGTTTACATATACCTCGTATGCATATTGTAGCTGTCACATTGTATAAGGCAATAACAGACGAAGAAGCATAGGTCAACTCCCTCTACTAGTTCCGCGGAAGATACTGTGCCGTGTATGTGACGTAGTAACATAACCTCCGCCCACTCATGAATATTCATGATTTCTGTGCTTAAGGCCATTGTAGGTTTAAGGGCACAACACACGTACCCGCTCTAAAACACACATACCCTTCTAACGTCATCCGCGGGGAAAGTTTGGAATATTTGCAATACGAGATGTAATTTGTATGTGTGGCTTGACCGATGTCCACATGTATAAATTACCTGCATATTTGTCTCGTTTATACATTAGAGATGATTTTATTCGCTCACAGTTTTCAGACAAGCTTATAATATAAATCTTTGTCGCATAGGGAAATTAGGGTATGTATTTGAAAAACGACGATCCTTTGAAACAAATAACACGAATATTTACGTTTACTATTATTTCTAGTGAATATTGATATCAAATACGTAAAATAACAGAAAGTAAGAATTTTGAAAAATAAGTTTTCAAGAAATAAGAACAATTTATATTTTCAAAGGTCTTTCAAGCGCCTGCGTGACCGATTATTAAAAACGATACAAAATGTGTTTTAGACATCTTCCGATGAAGGACAGCGCGACCGTCTAAAAATAGCAACCAATGGAAAGTGACATAACATTGACAATGTTGATTTTTCGTAGGCCTTCACAGCCATTGTCGCTATATTGCGATATGCGAGACGGGGCCCAGCTTATGCCTGTTCCTAGTTAGGCGCAAGTTGACAACGCGCATAGGGAACCAGGAACCGGCTTAGTATGCGTGGTTGCAATCGGCGTTAGTCGGATGAATACGTTACTTGCCTACTCATGTAGATTTCCAAGTATCCAGTTTGTAAACTCAATCAAGAACTATCGATAATGAACTTGTCCTGCTACTGTTGTATGTCGATTGTAATATGAACCAACGACACTGTCATGTAGTAATGTGTCATTATCCACAATCTTGATTAATAAGCTTGCCCTGACGAGTTCCGAGTGTACCTGGCAACGTTTAAATATGGCGGACGAAGACAAACCCCAGAATGTCAGACTGTGTGATCAAGGTGCGGACGGAAGTTTAGAAGAATTCATTCGTGACCATTACCAACAAGAAAAAGTGTGTACGAATACTAAACCATGTTCCAAAGCTGTTTGTGTTGTCTCAAGGGTATTGGTCTTTCTGAATGCTGTTTCGACCTTTCGTTGAATTGCCTTGTGTTGTTTGGTGTTGAATATTGTGAAATGTAATGTTAAACAAATATGGGTTAATTTTCGATGGGTTAATTTTTATTGACGATATTTATATTCTTAAGAGCATGTAAATTTAATAAACCCAAAAACACTTATGATTGAGATTTTGTGAGGGCGGCAACCCATTTAAAATTGTATTTTTCTTTTATGCTAGACACTCGCGTAACCTTGATTCGTGGATATAAGGGAAGTGCGGGTAAATTCATATTTTAAATGCATGATTTCATTTTGTATATGCACTGATTATTTTATTCATTGATTCAGCAAATTGAAAATGCCAAATATTCCACTCGTGAATGAAACGTTTGTTTACGGAAGCCATTTGCAATCATCACCCATTTGGTGCCCACAAAATGTGACGTCACCTTGTTTCATTGATTACGTAGACGGTTACTTTATACCACTCTGTACGACATCCCACTGCAGTAAGTATTGACACCAAGGACTGACTGACTGAGTTTAGTTTTATGCCGCTTTTAAGTATGTTCCAGCAATATCACGGCGGGGGACACCAGAAATAGGTGACACCAAGGAAAGCAGACAACGAGAAGTGAGAAGGTTGGAGCTAACGGTATCTTTTTTACTTGACATTTTGTAAAAATAAAATTTGGTAATGGTGGTGTTTGTGATCTGGGGCTATTTATCTCAATGCTGGACAATTATATTTAGTGTACTTGTGTGTAATGCAGAGATTCGGAACTTTTTTGTCAGCGAGGCGTGGCATTGTATGTACATCAAAAGTACCGCTTCGTGACGTCGTACGAGACTTAATTTACGAGCTAGCATGATAATTTCCGCGATCCACGAATCAAGGTTATCCATGAATTTAGGTTACGGTTCTGTACATGTCATAACTAAACTGGAATCTTAGTTGAGGCAATTATGTCGCAAACGTTTCCTCTGGATTATGGTTGCCAGTTTCCTGTGGGTGACACAGATACATACAGAATGAAAGAGATTAAAAAATTTCTAAGTCATAGCTATCCCTAGTGGTATGCCTAAATATCTACATGGTTATCTCCCTTAGCTGTGACGTCACAGCATTGTTCTTTGAACACCTTCATAATTTTTTCTGTATGGTCACACACGGACGTGTCAGAGTGGAAGAGGTTTATTGTCAAGTTTAATCTTACAGAGTTATTCATGTACGGTCAGTAGAGATCGCATTTGGTCACCAGACAATTGCATTGTGACTTTATTATTGCTTATTGTAAAACTTTTTGACTTTGTGTAGTTTATGACTTTTCCCCGCCCTGTTTAAAGTCAAAGTCAAAATCTAAATCTAGATCAAGTTCATCATCTAGCCAGGTTGATTTGTCAGCTATTACGGACCTTTTATCTTCTTTCAAGTCGGAAATTCAATCATCCATGGGGCAGTCCTTCCATGACTTTGGGTTACATAACGAAGGGAGAATCTCAGATTTACAGAGGCATATTGATTTCTCCGGCTCCCAAACTCAAAATGCGGCCGATCTATATGACTCATACGATGAAGGGCATGCTAGGTCCCAAGGTCAAGAGTCATTCGGTCATGCGGTGCTCTGCTCGGTTCGGTCCAGCATCACCCACGTCCTGAAGCCGGGTCGCCGATCCCCACCGGTGGGAGACGCTAAAGCTTCGAGCGGGAGGGACACGGTCCCTGGCTGTCAACCCTTAGGGGTCAGCACCCAAGCTAGCTTGCCTGCAGAGCCGGCTATCGTGTCACGCTCGGGTGATTCCGCGTCCCCAGCACGGCTTGGTCAGGATCCCGTTAGCCAGGTTAAGGTGGTTGGCATGGGTCCTAATCAGCCGTTATACAACCCGAATTCCACGTCCGAACGCACAAGATGTTACCTAAGGGCTCGTCATATTCCTGGACGTTTCAACATTCTTGCAGACTCCTTATCAAGGCAGGACAGCGTCATTCCCACGGAGTGGACTTTACACAGGGAAGCCTTTGATTTAATTAGGAAAAAATGGGAAACTTCTTTGTTAGACCTGTTTGCGATCCGCAGGAACAATCGTCTACCAACGTATGTAAGTCCAGTGCCGGATCTGCTAGCATGGGCAGTTGATGCCATGTCAATACCTTGGGAAAAAATATGATTGCCTATGCATTCCCTCCGTTCAAAATGTTACCGGAAGTCTTGGCCAAGATTCTGCGTCACAACTGTGTAGTTTATCTAGTGGCTCCTCTTTGGCCAGCAAGGACATGGTTCACCACTCTCCTCCAGCTTGTCAAGACCTCTCCTCTTCGATTGCCGGAATGGGACAATCTCCTCAGTCAACCGGATTCCACACGAGTCCCCGGGAACCTGCAGAACCTAGCTCTTCACATGTGGAGGCTATCCGCAAATCACTCCAGCAACAAGGGTTTGACGATAGATCTTCCCTGGCAATTACCCAATCACTGAGACCCTCCACAGCAGCTCTCAACAATGCAAAGTGGAATCGATTTGTCAAGTGGAGAAGAGACAGAGGACTCTTGGATTCCCCAGTGTCTATCCCCATGATTGCCGATTTTCTCCTATTCCTGAGAGATGTCAGAAAACTAAGACATAATACTATAGAAGGATATAGATCTGCCATTGCTTCAGTTTATGATGTAGAGGAATTGTCAGTTGGATCTAACTTTTCGCTTCATAAACTGATCAGATCCTTCCAAATCAAGGATGTCAGGTCTCCTACCATCTTTCCGAAATGGGACTTATGCTTAGTTTTGAAATGTCTTACTAGAGCCCCTTTTGAACCCATGCAGGCCGCAACCTTAAAGTTTTTATCATTTAAAACAGTGTTCTTGTTGGCTCTTGTGACAGCCTCCAGAGTATCGGAAATTCATGCCTTGGACTTTAGATCAATAACATTTTCAGAAGGTTACCGTTATATGTCCTGCAGAACATTACCAGAATTTGTAGCAAAAAATCAGTCATCTGCTAGCGGGCCATTCGGACCAAGGATTTATAAAGTTCCAGCCTTACCTACCACTGCCTCCAGAGCAGACAGATCAAGATTATTGTGTCCTATTCGTGCTTTACGGTGGTACATTCAGAGAACTCTTGACTTCAGAAGGGGTCGCTCTCGTTTGTTTCTTCCATGTAAGCAGAACATTGATTCAGAAATTTCCAAAAATACCATCTCATCGTGGCTTAGAAAGACTATCACCTTTGCTTATAGAGACTGTGACCAGTACACTATAGATGCTAAGTTTTCACCTCATGAGATTAGGGCACTGGCTTCATCTTTGGCAGCTTGGAATTCAGTTTCGGTGGAACAGATAGTATCTAGTTGTCAATGGGAAACATCAAATACTTTTGTGAATTTTTATCTTAGAGATGTTGCCATGTTTTTGGAGGGCCTATGAAACTTAGGACCTTTTCAAAAGGTGTGTTTGTGTGTGTGTGAGAGAGAAAGCCTGAAAGTGGATCAGTTCACGTCAGACGACCTGGATCAACAGGACTTATGGATATTGGATACTTGTTCAGGAAGATTTTCATGAAGATCTACAAGATTATAGGCTGAGAAATTAAATTATATCTAATATTATCTAACAGTGAATGGTGATGGTTTCACAGATCACGTGATTTGGAGAGAACTGTTAGATGTTGGGAAGTTGTTCTAGAGGATTAGTTTAGGAAGGGTAGTATATATATATATCTGAGGATTGATACATGAACCGGAAGTGACGTCATACCGGAAGTGACATCATAACCGGAAGTGATGACATAGGTAACTTCATAAAGCCAGAAGTGACGTCATAAACCGGAAGGTGATGATAACATACCGGAAGTGACGTCATAGTAACGTAAGCTGACGTCATAAATTCGAAGGTATAGTCGGTAGAACGAAAAGTGACGTCATGTCTGAAAACGAGGTTTCAGGATTGGAATAGGTTCTCGGAATTAGTTAGAACATTATCATCAATTAGGAAGTAATTCCGTTAATGGTCTAATTTCTCTCCAAATATTTCAGAATCTTGCTTTACGTTAACTTCCTGTTCTAGTAATATATTAACAAGATAATATGGTGGCAGGAATATTGAACAGGAAGTTATCTAAGTCATAGTTATCCCAAGAAGGGAATTCGGGATTCCAGAAGTATAGTGGTATTCCTATGTTTCCTCATTCACTGGGGCCCTCCATCCTTATGTGGGATTCTGGCAACCATAATCGAGAGGAAACGTTTACGACATAATTAGGAACAATTACGGATATTGTTAGTAATTATTAGTAAACTTACCTCTGGATTATGGGATCTAGGACCCTCCCTTACCTCCCCGCGAAATGTATGAGGAAAAATAATTTAAAAAAAATATAATTATGAAGGTGTTCAAAGATCAATGCTGTGACGTCACAGCTAAGGGAGATAACCATGTAGATATTTAGGCATACCACTAGGGATAGCTATGACTTAGAAATTTTTTAATCTCTTTCATTCTGTATGTATCTGTGTCACCCACAGGAAACTGGCAACCATAATCCAGAGGTAAGTTTACTAATAATTACTAACAATATCCGTAATTGTTCTTTTTAACTTTATGTTTACAAAAATGCTGGAAATTGTTTCATGTATGGACAATTTGATCAATAACAGTTTGGGCCTCACCCGTTCCTTCTACAGCAGATGAATGAAAACAAACACCAATCATAACAATTAGCATCAGGCAGTTATCTTGTTTAAGGAAATATCAATCGATATTCACAAAAGAGGAACAATATCCCAAAGAACTTGTTCGATGTCTCATGTCTTTGTAACAGTCAAATATTTAAAGAAGTATATAGTGATTTGGGATGATATAAACAATGGATATAGTGATTTGGGATGATATAAACAATGTCCTTCAATGGATCACCTAAGTTTGTTTCAGGTGGTTCCCTCAGAGGCAGGTGT